TGAGTAGGTTTGTAGTATAACTTGTCATATTACTGATCAAATTAGAGATTGCACTCAAGAAATCAGAAGACAAGCCTAAGAACAAATCAAACCTTAACTGTCACTAGAAATCAGCATGATAAAGGTGAGTCTGCTGTACTTTGGTCATATCATGAGATAACATGACTTATTGGAGAAAGCAACATTGGCTGGGAAAGTTAAAGGCAGTAGGATTTCAATGACTCCATTAAGGAAACTATATCAAATTGGGAGGGCCCCAGTGCAGTCGTGAATAATGAGTTTGTTTCTGAGTTTGAAGGACCAAGCAGGGCACTTGGAGATTTTCCATGCATAGAGTAGCCTTAATAAAAGCCAACTTGATGACACATGACAGCAACATCACAGTCACCAATGGCTGTGTGCTTAGTACTCTCTAAGCACACAGAAAAAGAACAAGTTCATGACTATTGGTGCCACTTCTTAATATGTTAATTCAACATAACTTTCAGAAAGAGTGCATATTGGGCAGTTACATAATTACGTTTTAGCTCTATCAGGCACTCTGAACGGTTTGAGACCCGCCTACCTTCGTGACAGTATCTCCTTCCATGAACCTGCATGACCCCTTTAATCTTCTGGGGATTCCCTCCTCTCGCTTCCTCCTACGTCACACGCGCAATTTGTGGAGACAAGGGAGAGGGCCTTCTCTGTGGTGGGCCCTCAGCTTTGGAACCCGCTACCCGGAGAGATTAGGCAAGCGCCCAACCTGACAGCCTTCAGGAAGAGCTTAAAAACCTGGCTGTTCTGGTGTGCCTTTGAGCAATGAATACAAATCCCCACACCATGACTAGCTCAGTACAATATGACGTTCGATGCACTTAATCTCATCCTTTAGTGAAATTCATCCCATTCCTTGTCCCATCTGAAATCTCCTACCAGGCACACTACCCTACTCATCCATCTCACACAGAGTTTTTATATTTTATAATTCTATCCCTTGTAATTAGCCCAGCCTGCTGTGCACATTTCTATTATTTTATTTTCATTTCCTGTGTTTGACTTTGTATTAACTTGTTTTGTTTACATTTTATTTGATGTTATTATTTGCTGCATGTATTTGATTTTGATCTGTTGAAATTGTTGGACTTGGCCTCATGTTAGCTGCCCCGAGTCCCCTTGGGGAGATGGTGGTGGGGTATAAATAAAGTTTTATTATTATTATATTATTATTACTAGGTGCATTTTACTTGTATTCTTTTCTGCAGGTTTAGCTTCAAAATTCACAAATTATACAAAATATGCATGGAGAGGATGGGGGCAGTTAGGTTGATATTCCCATGGCGTAGTTAATGTACACTGATAATGTTGTTTGAACAATTCTTATGGGATTAAGTGCACATTTGCATTTATTGTTATTCATGATCAACAACATAGGTCAGAGACATTTAATAGTCTGAAAAAATCTTGAGCAACACAGAAGGGTTGGTGCATGCTCTAAATGTACTGATTTTGATTTGAAGTAGAGCAGATAGAAGTCCACTTTAATGCAAGTACCGAGTTTTGGCCACTGGAGGGCAAAGCTAGAGCACATGATTTCTGGAGCAAAATAAATTCACCAGTGTGAAATAGGGCCCCTTCCACACACACAGCCATATAACTCAGAATATAAAGGCAGATAATCCACAATATCTGTTTTGAACTGGATGATCTGAGTCCACACTATCATATAATCCGGTTCAATGTGGATTTTATACATCTGTGTGGAAGGAGCCAAAGGAATACTCTCATCTTATTGCAGCCCTCATTTTCCCATAAGGACACTTGCTGGAGTTCTCATTGGAACTCAGTTTTGGCATATGATTCTGTTATAGTACTCAAACCAGGAATATCTTCTTGTGAATAGATTCAGAGTCATCCTAATCCCCTCCCAAAAACCCCTTTAAAAAATAAAATAACTTACCCAGCAGCCATTACCCTTGTGCCGGAATCCTCTTGGCACATAGAAATGGCATGCTAGGAGAAGGGGGGGAGGGGAGTTGAGGAGGAAAATCGCTCCTTGCTTCCCCTTCTCCTGGCATGTCATTTCTATGCACCAGGAAGATTCCAGCACCAGGGTAATGGCAGCTGAGAGCTCGAGTTTAATCCAGTCCTTAATTAATTTGGAACAAAGCAGGATATTCGCTTTTACCAGAGGCATTGTTTGGACGCCTGTGATAAAGCGTATGAGCTCGCGCGTTTTGGACCCTGTCTGAATGGGCCCTCCATGGAACACCAATATAAAGGACTGCACTGTAAGTGCATTTTAATATAGATTCCCTAAGACTCACCATGGCTTTTGCTTTTCAGGAAGTAGCTGAGAGCATGTGGTCCAATATAGGTTGAAATTATGATGCAAACGGAAGGGATGTACCCTTCCCCTCCATAATCCAAAACATCACCTGAAAGTGTTATTTTCTGCAGTAAAAAGACCCAGATAATATGAAACACCTTTCTCAGAAAGATTAACCAATGCAAGGGACAATTTGGCCGTGAAGTGTTGGGAATGTAACACTTAGCACTGATGAGTGAAGAGTGCCTCATGGTGGACAGAAGCAAATGTTAGATAGCTTGAACGCACAAAAGTGTCCTCTACCTATCCTGACAGTTCTGTGATAAACATACACTTTCTTCACCTCTTTTTCCCATGAGTGCTCTCTTCACCTTACAAGGTGAGCACAATGAGTTACGACCTCATCAGACGGGGCTGAATTCCTCTCTTGTTTAGCCATGGAGCCCACTGGCTACTATCGCATGATGTACAGCTACTTCCGGTGAGGCTCCTTGGCTAAACTAAAGTGGAACGAGTGAATGCCACCACCGCAGCAACATGGGCGGCTTCCCATGTTGCATTAGCAACAATGGGGAGAAGCTGGACGGTGGACACTTCCCCTGTGGGATGGGGTTAAATTTTGAATCCGTGGCGATTCTGGCAGACAATGTGATAAGGTAGTTTCTGTCCTTAGAGTTGAGTTTCTATAATAAAGCTGAGTTTCTTTCTCCATGCCATTGACATGTTTGCTCCTTAAATCAAGGTCTCTAACTGCTGTGTGAAAAGAGCTAGATTCTTAAAATGTTTGCAAGGAGATTAATGAGGAAGCCGGAAGCACTGACTAGGGCTTTCCAAAGGAATCCAGAAATTGGAACTGTACTTTACTAGATCTAGCATGTCCCTTTGATGTCTACCAGCAATCCATATAAAATGGTGTCTCAGAACCTTTCCTCAGTTTTTAGGATTTTAGGTATTAGTGTGAATAGTGATGAGAGAGGATTTAATTGAAAGGAAGGGTGTGTCTTTTCAAAGCCTTTCCTAAAATTCAGACTTTTATTCCTCTAGGAATTATGACTAGTTCCTTTCTGAGGTGTGTCTCCTGATGATTGCATTTCTACTTTGGCACTTAAGCATTGAAACACAAGCATAAAAATCAGCTACCAGTGCTTTCTCTAGAAAACACTGTGAAATTTAGGAGTTTCTGGAGCTGCCTGTTGTGACACTGACATTTGCTGTGTATAGGGTGTCTTGTGGCTTACAGAGAATGAACACAGCAATTAAATGTACATGTGCTGTGCAAAAACATCCTTAGAAGTACAGTCATAAGCTCTTTCAAGGTCTTAGGTTCTGGGTTCAGTTTCCTGCCTTTTCCTTATTAACATCACATGCTTCAAATTTAGTTTGTATACATGTAAAGGCATTCCATGCAATTATAGAAACAATTTTATTGATCAGTAATAATATCTACAGTTCATGCTTCTACATATTTCTTTTATATTATGAGCATGCACTTAAAATACAGACTTTGGTGGCATTTCCAACATCTCAGAATCTGTAATATACTCAATTCTTGTTCTATGGGATGAGAGCTCCAAGAGAAAAGGTGAGTTACATTCTTGTAGCAGACTTTGGTGCTAAGTGCACAAAACGCAGACCAGACACTTCTGCAGTCAAGGAAACAAGTCACAATAAATGCAATTAAAAACATGAAATGGTAGAATGGGATTCCGTTGGAAGAATGAAATTTGATTAGATTTGAATTGGATGGTATACCCAAAAGGGCACTTACAGAATGGAATAACCATAAAGCTCTCCGTTTTTCATGATATGCTCTTGAAATAATACCTTGCTGAATAATGGTGAGTTCTTGCCAGATACTTTAATGCTGACTGGGCTCACATTACATTTTATTATTGGCTGGGAATGTTATTTCAATAACAGAAGTATTCTTTATATGCACTGAAGCAGAATATGGAAAAAATTGTATTTTGCAAGCACTGATTAATAAACTGAACTGCACTATAGTAGGGGCCTGACAAACATCTTTCCAGTCAAGGCTGAAAGAGGTCAATAATATGCTGTGTATTCAAAGCCCCAAGCATGGTTCAAGACCATCATAAATGTACAAATCCATAAAAATTCCCTTTTGTCCTCTATTTTTTCTGCCCATACAGATGTGGTGTGAATATAATGGACCTGCATAGTTGTGAGGAACTGTAAATACTAGTAGCTGATCCAGCAATTGCACTTTTTAATCTATCTTAAAGCAATAGTTTCAAAATCCCAAGTGGCAGCATTTTAAAAAACCTTTCTGCCACACAAAGTTACTGACTGCACAAAACTGGAAGAAGTAAAATATAAGGCTGACATTAAAACATGGCTGTTGAACATTTAAAACAGTGTAAGAATAATGAAGTAATGGGGATATTGCTATCCCCAATACATTTATCAAGGCAAAATTGATAAATGTTTTTAATGAATGATGTGATTTGGTAACGTCATGGTGGAATTCAATATACAGTATCACAATTATCTCATTATGTTATTATATGTGTTTGAATTATTGTGAGGCTTTTCAATTCTCACTTGTTTGTTTGTGTGCTGTTATAATCAATACCAAAGAAAACTAATGAAAAAACAGAGAAACAAAATAGTAGGAAGCAGGCCCGTAGCCAGGTGGGGTGGGGTGGGAGGGGGGGCTGAGTTTGATTCGGGGGGGGGGGCTGAGTCTGAGTGAAAGAGGGTCTACCTTAGCAAACCTTTTGTATCGTTACCCCAATACTCCCATGCATATAAGATATATTGAGCATGGTAATCAGATCATGATATGAATAAACATAACAGTCTAAATAATGTACCAGTAAGGCCTTTTCGCAGACCACCATGAGAATTTCGGCTACATGCCTGGTAGGAAGGTACAATTGAATCCGAATATGGCACCAGCGGAGCCATATTCAGGTTTGAAAACCATCTGAAGAGCTGGCTCTTACCCTGTCAGTAATACATTCTCTAGCCATTGCTTTTCCAAACCCTTTTTAATTGCTCCATACTGTGTGGCCAAATGTTTAATCTGTTTAGTCTTCTCTGTCCCCCTCCCCACAGGCTCCTTTTCCCTTGCAACCCTCCTACATGGAAAAACAAAGCCCAAAGGCACCAAACGTCTACAACTATCCATGTGGAATGAAAAAACAACAACAGGAACAAAAATGCTCTACACCACCCACCCAGAAGAAGAGACAAATATTGCCTAACAGTATCTTAGTGCAAGTTGTGATTGGGCTGTTTAAAGAGAAGGAACAGAGAAGATGAAATAAAGGTGGTCAAAAATTTTGGTTGCATATATGTGTCATCACCAGACTAGCTAATATGGGCAGCATCTGTTGTATCAAGTTATCAGTCTTTCCTATATTATACAATTGCAGAAGCCAAGTCAAATGAAGCAGCATTAACTAAAGAATGTAGGCCTCTGCCCCTGTGTGATCGCAGGAAGGATTTGGCCTTCTTTTGAGTGTTTAAGAAAACAAAGAAGAGAAATTGCTAAATTTCTATGACGCTGGCCCATCGCAAGCAGAGCGGGGCATCCGAGGGCACGTTATTCCGATGGATGTCATTCCCATCCAGCCTCAAGACTTGGAGTTTGGAAAAGTTCATGATGTCTACGATGGTGCAGAAACTGTTGATGGTGAATTCTGAAAAAAGAAAAAGAATGTGTTGTTTATCCTCTCTAAGCTCCATTCTTCTAAACAGAAGCAACTCAGGGAAATGACATTAACATTTAATTTGCAATGCAACTCAAGCAATTAGACAGTTTACATGGAACTAGAGTTATCTTGAAGCCGTAGACCCTCTAGCATTGGCACCCATCAGGTAATAGAAGAAGCCATAAATGTACAATTTAATGACAATTTGTTGGGAAGTCAGCAAATTGGCCTTTAACATCATCACTGTAAACGTGAAAATTAAGTATGGCCTGTATTATGTACTAAACTCTTGAGCTCTAGCTACAAAGGTGGCACAGTAGAAAATGATGGAAACTTGATATCTTTGATGATCTAATATTTAGGCCATTTTCACAAATAAGACAGAAGTCATTAAAGTAGACCTTCCAGATCCACAAATTTTGTGTGCATGGTTTGAATTTTTTAAAATATAAAAACAAAAAAGATTGATTTTTCTATTTTATATAGGAGCACCACTTTAGTTTGCCATTATATATAATGGAACTTGAGAATCCATGGATTCGGGCATCCTGGAGCCAAACACCAACAGATACCAAAAGCAAACTGTATCTGCATTGTTTATCACTCCCAGAAAGAATCCCAAACATTTAACATTAGGAACATTTTCTGTCCAAAGCTTTGAAGACAAAACTTGCAAAGCAGAATGAGGCTGCTTTTGGGTTTGGGGAGTGTGAGTGAGATGATCTGTTTGCTTCATAGGACAAACAACAGCTCCCACTAAAGGTCAAGAAAATATCCAAAGAGTTAAACTGCAAAGCTCAGGATTCCATAGAAAGGAACCTGGGCAGTTAAAGTGGAATCATAGTGTTATAACTGTGTAATCTGAAAGGCTGTTAACTTAAAATAATGCAATGGAAGGGTGAGTGTTTTTTTATGTGAGACTGGGGGCCATCAGAAATTCACAAGCCCCTTCTTGGCTGCTGGGGCCCTGGACCAATGTAGTAACTGAACATCTTAAAGGTTATCTTCATGTCACAATATTTCCCCACATTGAAATCCACTCTTTGCTCTGTTTTAGACAGATAAATGGGGAAAGCATAGTTCCCATTCCCAGAAAACATGAGGTCAGGAAACTTAGGATTTTTTCATAGCGTATTGTGGTATTATTTAACTTTAACTCTGAAACCCTGCTGTTTGTAGTTTAGAAAGACACAGTGTAGAATTATGGTGATATTATTTCACTTTAACTCTGACACCCTGCTGTTTATAGTTAAGAGTGGCACTAGAACTTTCTGGCTGAGAAGTCTAAATGTCTTTCACTAAACTGCAAAGCTCAGGATTCCATAGAAAGGAACCTGGGCAGTTAAAGTGGAATCATAGTGTTATAACTGTGTAATCTGAAAGGCTGTTAACTTAGAAAGTAGCAGTAGAAAGCCAACATGAATCTCCTTTCACAGATCACCAGAATAGCAAATAAAGCACTGCATCACAGCATCCTTCCACACATGCATTATAACCCAGGTTAAACTGGGTTAAAGAGGGATGGGTGGCTAAATGATGTTTAGCCAAAATGCAGGAGGAATTGAGTTAAAGGCTGGAAAACAGCCTTTAAATGCTGCTCTTTAAACCCGGTTCTTCCTGAGAAATACACATGTTTCCATTCCTGTGTATTCCTGCAGGCATGGAAAATGTGTTTTCCTTCTCTTCCTCCTGTCTGGCCTCCCTCTTGCCCCCCATTTCCCTCTCAACTTACCAGAGGAAGCCTTGTGTGCAGGCCTGTGCCTTTGCCTCTCTTCCTTTAACAGAAGATCCAACAGGGCCTTGGAGGAGAAATCCCCGCTCATCTACCAAAAGCCCTCCTGCTCTTCAAAAGGAGGGAACAGAGGGAGGGAGGGAGGCTGGCAGTGCTCATGCCCACCCCAGTATCTGGACACTGCCCCTGCAAAACCACAGCATTTAGGTCAGCTGTGTAGCCTCCATCCCAAGACGAAGTGGGATTTAAAATCCCAATTTCTCTTGGATTTGTTTGCCTGTCTGGAAGGGCCCTTAATGTAAATCTATCTTCTAGTTGGGTCCAGGGTTAACTGTAAGAACAGAGTCTTATATGTCACATGCCACCTGCACATGTGCCCCTGTGGAAGTTAAAAGATATTCATCTTTTTACTTACAATGCTATATGTCAAGCAAATTAAGGAGTCTAAGAGAACCATACAAACTATAGTAACATGTTCAATATGGACTGCATGAAGAACATAGGAGAATCTTTAGAGGAGGAAGATGCCAGAACTGGCTTGGCATGGCTATGTGAGGGGGAGGGCAAAATGAGGGTATTGTACCTCTGAATTAGAATTCTGCCATCCCAGTGAACCTCAAATGTCTAGCATTGCAGACATCATTCACACCTAGATCTCTTGTTCATATAACCATGTCAACTTGATCTGACCCCTTTCTCTGTCATTTTCATAGTGCAACTGAAGTTTTAAGTTACTGTAATGCTAGAAATCTAGTGACTGCAGTAAAATTTCAGTGGCAGAAGACAGTCAGAAGGGAGGCAGAACTTTCACTTTACACCCTTAGCTGTACACTAGTTCTTTTATCCTTTGTCCTCCTACCCACACTAAGTAACAGCAGCAGTCTATTCTCACCAGGAATATACTCCCCAGTTCTAGGCTCCACAGTTCAAGAAGGATACTGACAAACTGGAACATGTATAGAGAGGGGAGTCCAACATGGTCAAAGGTCTGGAAGCCGAGCCCTATGAGGATCAGCATAAGCAGCAGGGCATGTTTAGTTTTGAGAAGAGAAAATTGAAAGAGGACATGATAGCCATGTTTGAATATTTGAAAGGATGTCACATTGAGGAGGGGGCAGGCTTGTTTTCTGTTGTGCTGGAGACTAGGAACAGGAGCATTCAAACTGCAGGAAAAGAGATTCCATATAAACACTGGGAACAATATTTGGATGTGAAGAGCTGTTTGACAGTGGAATACATGTCCTGGAAATATAATAAAGCATCCTTCTCTGGAAGTTGCAAACAGAGGCTGGATGACCATCTGTCAGGAGTGCTTTGTATATTCATGCATGGCAAGGGTTGGACAAGATGACCCTTGTGTTTTCTTCCAACTCTGTGGTTCACGCAGATTCAAGGCAGCCATTCTAATACTTCCAGTGAACTCTGAAAAACCTCAAGGATTGTGAGAGATGTGGAACCAGGATGCCAAGGGTGTTTTGTGTCACTGCAGCGATCCCTTGAGCCGACAGAGGGCAACCAATATCCAGAACTTGCAGCACATTGCGAATTTTGTTCTAAGAGCAGCTGCTCTTGAACAGCTGCCTCTGGTTTAAAAACTAGGGAAGAAATTATGTGGCCATACAATGGCAATATTGTGGTGGGAAAAATCAGGAGTGTAATGGTCTTCTCCACACTGCCAAGGGAAGAAGCAGGCAGCTGAATGTGTAAGAGATCACCCACATGGTTGGTGTTGCTTGAAATATTTTTCTGTTGAAAGCAGAATGCAGAGTCAAGTCTGATACTTGAGGAAAAGGACAGGGGTTATAAAGCAAGCACGGGCAAACTTCGACCCTCCAGATGTTTTGGACTTCAACTCCCACAATTCCTATTTGGAATTCCTATTCCTATTGTGGGAGTTGAAGTCCAAAACACCTCGAGGGCTGAAGTTTGCCTGGTTATAAAGTATCAAACCATGATTTTATATGGAAACAATCTGCATTCCATGAGCATCCAACCTGATGTTTCCCAAAGAGAACCCCAAGCCTAGGTGATCTATTCCTGTTTGGTTGTTAAAGACATCCTGTCTTAAAACATGTGACTGTCTTTTGGTTAACATTTAGAAATGCTCTTGACTAAAGTCAGAGTGGTGTAGTAGTTCGAATGCTAGACTGCAAGACTGGAGACAAGATTTGAATCCCTGCACAGCCATGGAAATCCTTGGAAAAACATCTTGGTCTACTAGCTATCGCAACGTGTTTATGGCAATACATTCAATACATTGAGTTAATGTGTTCAATTTTCTTCATCTGGACTCAACTTTAATGAAAGAAAAAGGAGATTGGGGCAAGGCATTCTTTCTAAACTTTCATTCCTCTAGTTTCTAGAAATGATGAAACAATTATGATATAATGATGTGATTTTGTCATGACGATAATGAAGATTTTTTACCATACTCCCTACCCCGAACTCAGAGCAATGTACAAAATTCAAATAAAATATGCCATTGTAGTAGGAAAACAAAGCTATAGTATTTGGATCAAGAGCAGTGGCTATAAACTTCATGTGCATTTCAAGACATAGTTGGGTAGCTAAATTTGATCTTCACCATCATGTCTTCACTAAAATAATGCCAAAATACCCTACTGGAACTATATATTTTTTTAAAAAATGAACAGGGAGGGAAGCAAATGGTCCATAAGTGAGAGCAGAAGGTGACAGATGCTTCATTGAGCAACACAGCTTGAAATACTTCTTTTTGAGACAACAATTTTTGCAATCCTCTAGCTAACCTGGCTGCTGGCCATTCTGCCTTGGGAATTTTGAGTGTTGTATTTTTTTTAAAAAAAAATGTCTCCAAACTCAGGTCAAGAATGACAGTTGTCTCAGAGGATGACAAATGCAGATTCTCTTTCAACAAATCTTGCTGACAAAACCTGATGATAAGTTCAACTTAGGATCAGCATCAGTTAGAAATGACTCTAAGATACACAATGGTAATTTGTCCCTAAATCCCTGTCCCCTCTCTTGGTGGCAGTCTCCTTACAGAAATGATTAAAGTTTGACTGTGAACATCTTCAAAAGAAAAAGACCTGGAGAAAGACAAATGAATATTCTTCATCTGGGATACGCCTCTGAAGAATAGTTATGCCTAACAGATGAAGCCAACATTATCTTAAAAGCCAGCAGCTACCAATTCTGTATACAAAGCTAACTCGGCTACTGAGCCTTGCTGCTCTGCCGCATTCCTCATTTACTATGGAAAAAAAAGCAAAGCCTTCTGAAAAACTCGTTATAAAAACTTTAAAGGTCAGTGGCAAAGCTGCTTAAAAAACAAGTGAATAAATAAAAAAGAAACCCAGAAAGGTGGTTTAACTGCTTTGCTGTTATAAAGAGCCAGACAGGGATTTGGAGCAAAATGCTGTGATTCTCGGAATACTTGTCAGACTGTGCCTCTCTCCTGCATGGGGATAGAAGTGGCATCACTAATGGTGAATTGATAGTGGTGCAGAGACATTTGACTTCTCAGTACAGTTGCATGCAGTCTCAACAGTGGTTAAGAATCACTTCGATGATCAGTGTTGAACGGGATTGCATAACAAATCTAATTTGACACCATTGAGTTTCTACAGGTATGCAGCAGAAATGTTAGTATTGTTAATATTCCAGCTTGGCAAAGCATGCAAACTTTTTCAGGCATGGTAAAAAGGTAAAGATTTCCCCTTGACATTAAGTATAGTCATGTCTGACCCTGAGGGTGAAGCTCATCTCTATTTCTAAGCCAAAGAGCTGGCATTGCCCATAGATGCCTCCAAGGTTATGTGGCCAGCATGACCATGAGCAGTACCTATTGACCTACTCACATTTGCATGTTTTCAAACTGCTAGGTTGGAAGAAGCTGGGGCTAACATCAGGAGATCACCCTGTTCCCGGATTCGACATGGTAGCCATGTTTAAATATTTGAAAAGGTGTCAAATTGAGGGGGGAGGGGTAAGCTCTTCTGGACACATTTCAAATTGTTAATATCCTTCTTAAAATATGATGCCCAGAACAGGACACAGTATTCCAGATGAGGTCTGACCAAACAGAATAGAGTGGCACTATGGCTTCCCTTGATTTAGACACTCTAGTCCTCTTGATGCAGCCTAGAATTGCACTGGGATTTTTACCTGCTGCATCCCACTGTTGACTCATGTTCAGCTTGTGGTTACTAAGACATCTAAATCCCTTTTATATGTACTGTTTTCAGGCCATGTATCACTCATCCTATATCTATGCATTTAATTTTTGTTGCCTAACTATAGTAGGCTAGATTGCTCCCTAATGAAATATTTTTTTTAATTTTGGTCCAGCTCTCTAATCCGTTCAGGTCATTTCAGATTGTGTTCCTATCTTCTGGGATACTAGCTATCCCTACCTATTTGGTGTAATAAAAGTTTGATAAGCTTGTCCTCTATTCCATTGTCTATATCAATGATAAAGATGTTGAAATAGCTTTTGGGCCAGGATAGAACCTTGTGTTGCCCCACTGGACACTTATCTCCAGGATAAGGAGAGCCATTGGTAAAAACAGCTTTAGATTCAGCCAGTCAGCCAACTCCCAGCCCATCTAACAGTAGCTTCGTCTAGTGCATATTTTATCAGTTTATTTGTGGGGATATCACAGGGGACCTTGTCAAAGGCTTTACTGAAATCAAAATATGCTACATTCACAGCATTCCCTTCATCTATTCTTCATCTACCTAATGTGGCAACCCTATGAATTTGGGATTAAATCCCTTTGCAATCCTTGTATCAGAACACACCCACATAGCAATACTTTTGAAAAACTATACAATCAAGCTAACTGATTATGAACTTCTGATGGCATGGTCTGTCAACTACAAGGTTCTCTTACTTGGGTCTTTCCATAGATGATAGAAATATGCCATCTGAGGATGATGGGAGATATAGTCCAATATGTTTGCTGGGCACAAGGTTAGGGAAGGCTATGTAATATTGACCAAACAGGATGTATTCGATATGGCAAGATAATTTTCAATTCAAACTAAAAATAAGAAACAATCTTGAGTGTTTTGTATTTATGTTTCTCTCTCTCACTGTGCCATTACTCTCTGAGTAACTGAGCACCACCTCTGTGTATATGTCACAATATGACTATTCACTGTATTTTGCTTGTTGTATGATTCCACACCCTGCTCAGATACTCATTTTTCCTTGAAACATGTTGTACCCACAATGGCTGGCACTAGGCAGTACAATAATATTATTGCAAAGTATAAAGAAAGTAGCAATAAGCTCCACCTAAAACAAAATTGCCATTTGGCAGTAAAAACATCCAATGTTCTTTCTTTAAGCATATTATGCAACATACATAGAGAGAAGAGAATACTGAGACAAATTCAGGTCATGTGTGATGAAGCAGTGCTCAAGGCAAGACTAGCTTTGGGACACTTCGTCTCAGCTGGAAGAGTAGACATTGCCCTGTGTTAACCATCCTCCTACACTCCCATGACTATTCCTTTCCCACAAAATTTAGATCACAACTCCCAGAATCACTCAATCAGCATGGCTTCTAGCAACAGAGCTGGCTATGGGATTTTGAGATGCATTGTCAAAAAAGTACAATTTCTTAGTAAATACACTCTCCAACCTAGAAATTCAAAAACATTCAAGTGTGAGTAGATCAATAGGTACCACTTTGGTGGGAAGGTAACAGCGCTCTATGCAATCATGCTGGCCACATGACCTAGGAGGCGTTTACAGACAACAGCGGCTCTTCAGCTTAGAAATGGAGATGAGCACCACACCTCAGAGTTGGGCTCGACTAGACTTAATGTCAAGGGGAAACATTTACTTTTTTACACTCTCCTTATCACATGCCTCCTTTTTATTCTTATCTATCAATCATCCCTGTCCCTAGAAAAGGTCTCGATTGTAGAAAAAGCCACATAACTCTTCTTGCTTCACACCTTTAAGTTCTGCATATTATTTTAAAATGTGATTTGTTACATTATACTGTATCCCAAAAATGACGAGTTGCTGTTAAAGTTACACATAGAAATTAATGCTTTAGTACCCTATTTCCAAAGGTAACTGAATGCTTTCATTTCTTTAAAATCTTAGTGCTGCAAGCCATTGCCATGTGGTTTGGAGTACATACATGTCAATATAAAAATATCAATGGGGAGAGAGAGGAAATAAATACTACCACTAAAATTAATAAGCAGGTGGGGCAGAAATACCATTACAATCTTGAAAAAATGACTCAAAATGCAGTCCATTTCTGCAGAACCAGTTTCTCAAAGAGGAAGAATGTAGATGAATAGAGTGCATGGAATAGGTTTTTAAATATATTTGTTTGCATCACTGTGGATTTTATTGAAAGCAACTAATTGCACAGAAAATGAAGAGCATCAATGTCTTAAGCAATCTTAAGCAAAACAATTGCTTAAGATTTTTACTCAGAAGGAACAATGGGTAGTAAAACAATAGAAAAATCCAGTTTCTGCACATCTATTCAGAAGCAAAACACACTGCTTTATTCAGAAGTTAGCATGGACAGCAAATTCTGAGAGAATCCATCTTCTCTATTTTGCATCTTCTAGCAAGAAAACATATTTTGCACATAGAAGGAATGTAAATCAGATGACTGACAGCAAGTTATAATAGTTATACTGCAGGAGTAAAGCAATCTTGACTTAAGATAAGGGTGTGTAACCTAAGTATAACTATTATTGAAGACTGAATACATGGCCAAGTTACCTATTTGTTATTGCAGTCATGACTACTAAGAAGTCACTTACAAGCTCTAAAACAATAACATTGGCTTTCAAAATAGCTAAAAGAGTCTAGTTTATAGGTGGGGAAAATATCCTGGGGCATGCAATATCTAAATATTATTTTTATAGCCTCTGGTCCCCTCCGGATTACCAGGACCCCCCTCATTGCTGTCAAAAAGGTATAATTTTTGTATCCTGAAAGCTCACTGTGAAAAGACCCTCTTCTTCACATTACAAAATGACACATACACTCACAGGATATTCTTTTCCAGTGCCACCCCATAAGAGCTTATTAGCCAGAATGATGTTGCTCACCATTTATTCTGTTCCCTTGGAGGTAGAGATTCTCCAGACTAGTACTGACTCGTGGTATCTTCTGAAGCCTGTTGTAAGAGAGATCCAATTCCAGGAGGCTGCTGGCATTGAAAGCATTTGGGGAAAGTCCTTCACTTGTCAGGCTATTATGAGACATCCGTACATAGAGCAATTTAGGAGAGATCTTGAAGTAATCATCAGGAATGGTGTGTATGTGGTTATGCTCTAAATAGAGTTGCTCCAGGGAACTGGGAAGGCCATCAGGGACTCTCCTAAGTTGGTTATAGCTTAGGTCTGCAAGAATCAGAGACTTTAACCCCTTGAGATTCGCTCCAATTTCATGGATCTGATTGTGGCTGAGATAGAGGGCAGTGAGGTTCTCCAAGCCTTCAAGAGCATTGGCTGGAACCTTGGAAATCTGATTATAAGCCAGGTGAAGTTCTCGAAGTGACCGCGGGAGTGGAGTAGGCACTTTGGTCAGATTGTTATGGTCAAGGTACAATCTTTCTAGATTCTTGAGTTTAGCAAAGACCCTTTTGCCCATCTTTTCGCTGGTGATTTGGTTGTTATGTAATGCAAGCCACTCCAGGTTGGTAGCATTATCAAAAGCTCCCTCTTGGATAGCTGTAATTTGGTTGTTCTGGAAGTAAGCGTATTTCATCCTGGAAGGCACGAAAGGTAGATACCTGAGATTGCGAGCATCACAGTACAAGGCAGAAGAGAAGTTGGGAGGGCATTCACATTCCTGGGGGCATTCTCTGGATACAGGTGGTTCAGGGACAAGCTCACCGACAGAGGACTCAGCTGGTGCATAGGAGTAGGAAGAGTAGGGGGGAATCTCATCTTCATAATACGGTGAGTAGCTGTAGGATGAAGACTGGCTACGTAAATATTGTTGCAACCAGAAGATGTCGTCATACTGATCATCATACTGGCTCAAGCCCACCCTGCAGAGACCAGCGATAATAAGAACAGAAACCCAGTGCATTATGCCACAAACTTCACGGCAGCCTATAAAGGGAGAACCAAAAAAGATTAAATTGAGAACACACAAATAAACAGCAATTGCAAATATACATTTAGGTTTATGTCAAGTATTTATGTTTTGCATGGATTTCCCAGCAGAGTCATTGATGTGATCAAAAGGATAAAGCGGCAATGTTTTTATTTATTTATTTGGTTCATTAATTTTCTGTCTTTGTTTCTGTAAGCCAGCAGTGGTATACATTTTTCTCTTCTTTCCCAATTTATCAACACAACTACTTAGGTAAGTCAGACTAAAGAGAAGGAGCAATACTGTCTAGTTTCATGGTGTAGTGGGAACATAAAATTTGATCACTCGGCCTTTCCTGTCATCCTGTAAGTATATGGGTGTTAGTCCTCTATGTTGAATGCTATACTCATCCTTCCAAAAAGTCCAGGTCCGAAAAACAGACTTAAGCCTTCTTCTCAATGTACTAACATAATACATGTCCATGTTTACTATCTTGCATACATGTTTACCATCTTGCACCTGAATTCTGATTCTGAGTTTGGAGATTTTTATTCAAACTATTGGTGAGGAAGGAAGAAAATGTATCATGAGTAGTCCAAGGAAGCATGAAAGGCCAAAGAATTTGGCTTCATTTCCTATAATCCCTCAACCAACATGGACACTGGCTCTATTGGGTCAGGGATTTGGTGAGTTGTTATTTGTTATTCCCACCTGAAGTGGGTCCAATGAAACAATGGGAACTAGGTAAAGTCAACTGCTATGAAGATTCATTTGAATCAATGAATTACTCTGGGCAGCGTAAAAATAAAATATGTACATGACCTTAACATCCCTTAGGTTCACATTACATATGATGAAAAAAACCTGTTATCCTCAGTATGTACCAATTATATAAAGATAAGGTCAGGAATTCTGAAGCACTCCAAAAATTCCTGGGCCACATCCACCAGTATTTGGCACCACTGACTATGTTAATTAGGCCCACTGGAAACTGCAGAGGTCTCTCTTTGAAACAAAAGTTGGCTGTATGAGGTTATGTTCCTGTAGATCTATTTTGGCCTCAAGGATAGACCACTCTCACTGCTGTAGTCATAAGTAGCAACTTCCCTTTGTCCTTGCAAAATGCCTCCGAGTTGAGGCAATTTTCAGTAAAGGAATGGGAGAGGTAGGAATACTACTTATTGCTTAGCATCTACTAGATTTAGCTAACTTTGCAATCTTAGACTTGGTGTCCAGCAAAAACCAGTGCTGAATGTTTCCATTTGACTCTGCCCATTTTTCTTCCAACATTTGCAAAGTTACTTACATTCAGGTTGCTGCCCAATGGACACCAATCTCATGTAATGAGCTTTTGAAAGTCTACTTAACTATCTTTATGGAGTCATTCCTTTAATACAGGAGTGGGGAAGGGCTGGATTTGTGTGTTCTTCTCCATTGGTTCTTAGAGAGATGCACCCCAAATTCACCCCACCCTATCTCTTTTTTGTAAAATAAACATTGCAGGAAAGGAGGGAGGGAAAAGAGAAACAATTTGTGGGGCAGTTGAAAGAGGTTCTGAAGATTCTCAAAAACAGCCTTCGGATACATAGTTTGCTATTCCCGCCCTATTAAAATGTCTCCTGTCTACAGGATTGTTAAATTCTGCAGAGTCAAATGCCTTTAATTTGTCTTTTAAGAACTATGCAACAACATCTTTACTTATCAATAAATATGTAACAGTGTCAGCAACTATAACAGCATGTTATTTGATTGTTTACTTGATGCAGATCCCGTCTCATCAAGATGATTTTTTGAGTTATGTTACCAACACAAATAACAAAGTAGAAACATTGGCATACAAAAGACAACAGTAGCCACAGGGTGTTGTAAAAAACAGAATTAATGTACAGAAACTGAATACTTCAGAAGCCACAAACCACATTAAAAAAGCTAGACAAATAAAACTCAGTTGACATGTATAAAATGCAGATGCAAGGCATAATGATCTTACAGAGGTCATTACAAATAAATAACAAAATTCGGGAAAGTTGTTTACAGGCCTGTACTACACTGTCATATAAAATCCAAGTTATTTGCTTTGATAATCTTGATTATATGGCATTGTAGAAGGGTCCTCAAAATTCCCCAGCCAATATACCAAACAGCCATTGAGAATCTGATTTCACAAAAATAACCCTTCCAAACTGAGACAGATCATCCAGTTGCGAATCATCTCCCTCCTCCCTCCATCAGCAGGATTTCTAGGAAGGCTGTACTGATGACCTGTCATACTGGGTAAGAATTGATAGTTTTCAGTATTTATATTATTAAGCACAGTATGCAGTATTTTATCAAGGACTTTAGCACTAAAAATGCTTTCATGATGCCGTGAAAATCTCACTGTCTGTCATCCAGAAGAAGCAGTAATTGCATTCTGTGTGGCTGTTGTGACTGATTATTTAGTCTGATTAGCAAATATGTGAAGTGCCAGTCAAAATTAAGGCAGGTGGCCAACAGCTTGCGATGTGCCATACACCACCAGCAAGACTTTTTAAAATAGTTCACATACTTGGTAAGATCAAAGTTGCTTTGTGAATAATGTTCAAATGGGAAAATAATGAGTAAACCTGTATTCCATACATATTTTTTTCTGTAATAGTTTGAGAGCTGCACTAGGTTCAAATTCCTGCTCAGCCATGGAAACCCCTTGGAAGAACTTGGGTAAATCCATCTCCTTCAAGTTTTGAAGAAGACATTGTGATTCTCCTATAGAGAAACCTTGTTAAGAAAATGCTATGAAAGAGTTGTCATATGTGAAAGTCAACTTGAAGGCACCTTGAAAACAACAAAAATCACAGCAGTGGAGACATATATGCACTTGCGACAATACAGGACAGGATCAAAACCCATTACACCTCTAATGAGAGCTTGAAAAAGCTACTTTTATGAAGCACAGCCTTCTCTCCCGAATCCCCCAGTGGACTCTTCTCTGGAATTATGAGGAGAAGATGATGTAAGCTATGTGAAATTAAATGTCAGCATGAAAATATATTAAAAGGAAAAGGCCACAACATCATAAGGGCAACATAAAACTTTTATCACTTATCTGAAAATGTGGAGAAAACAAAACAGAATTTGTCCAAGGCTGGAAGCACAAACATTTAAGTGGTCAGGTGAGTGGGATTTCTTCCATGGTGGTGAGGAATTCGACAGTACAGAACTCTGCTAAAGGAGATAGAATCTTAATTCAATCACTTTCTACCATTCCCAGAAAAGGGGCAAACATCCCAAGAATCGTCTCCTAATCTAGGAAGTATCAATAAAGAGATTTTGGTTCTTAAGTGTTCTGCTTTTCATTTTGGTTGTTATGTGGCCTAATCCTTGGTATAATATTACTGTGAGGCAAGAGTAGGCAAACCCAGTGGATTAGGCAAAGCATCAACATTTTCCCCCTGAAACACTTCACAGGCCACTCAGATTGGCAGAGAACAAAAACAAAACAAAACCTACAAAAATCTACTTCTGGTTTTGAGAAAAATCTAATTTTTAAACAGTAATTGTCATGTTTTTGGATGAAAAGTTGAAAATCTGTTGAATGCTCTTCTTTTTTGTGGTGTAGGGACCTATCCCTAATTTTTCCATGTCATTTCTGCTTCTGGTAGCAAATTTCCTGTTAAAGAAACAATGTCCAGAAACACATTTACTTTGTTAACTGAGGTATTACTAGTAGTCTGTGGAATCAAAGGTCATGCTTTCTGTAAGCCCCTCCTGTTACATGTTAACATCTGTCAGAGTATTTATAACCTGAATGAGCATTCCATACAATGAAATTCCTTTAGTGCTACTAGTGGTTTCCATATCAGTAGGATAGTTAATCTATTCTGGATTTTAGTCAGAACTTTAAAGGAGCGATCCACGCTGCTCAATCCTTTCTCCAAAATACATTAGGTACTTCTAGATAACACCTCTAAAGTTCAGACTTAACATTCAAGCTATGTTTAGTTCCAAAGTGGAAAAAATGTTCCATGTCTGGAGCTGCTAACTTTGCATAATCCAAGAATATTCTGCAGAACTTTACAAATTCCACACGTCCATAATGCTCCTTGTTTTGGCAGATGCTCCTGTAGGGACTGGTTGCTAGAGAGCTGTGTGTTTATAGGTGCTTTGACTGCAAAATTCTGGCACAGGAGACAAAGAAGATACAGTACTCTTGCGTCTGTGGTCCTTACTTCAGCCAATGTGCTGGATTTCTGATGCAGCACTCTTACTGGAAGAAAGATAGATGGAAGCTCCAGTGACTGGAACTAGGCTTCTTCAGAAATTTGACCACTTTTATTTATTTATTTATTATTTACTACATTTATATCCTCCCCTTCTCATCCACGCAGGGGGATTCAGAGCAGTTCACAAAAGAGTCAAATCTAATCCAATTTTATGAGTCAAATCCAATTTTATGAAGACCTTCTAGAATTCCCCACTCAGACAGAGTCTGAGGGTTGTCATACAAAAAGTAATTTTCCCAAATTTCAACTTTGCATTTCAGTGATAGGTTCAAATTTCTTCCTCTCGGCAGTTCTAGACCTGCACTACACTCTGAAATATCTTGAGAGTTGCACCTGCCTGTATTTGGATTTTTAAAAAGAGCCAAATGACACATTTCATACATTGGTTCATGTCCCAAGAAATCCGACTCTACACTTCAAGAAAAAAGAGGGGGGAAACCCAAAGTTCAAGGATTAATTGAGGCATGATTGGATACAGGTGTGAGAATGCTACTACAAGGGAAAAGGGACTTTCCCACCCTGGTGCAGCGGGCGGGGGGGGGGGGGGGTTTGCCTCCTCTCCTGAAAGGAAGACCAGAGTGGTTCTGGCTGGAACCACCCAGAAGGGGGCAGAGCCGGGCTAACAGCCTTGGCCCACCTCCTTCTTCATTTGACCCACCACACCCACCCATTAACAATATAATTATGGTTGCCACAAGGGACCAGGTAGGAATTTTCCCCTCCTATGTTGTAGGAGGGTTTTTCACCTACCCTAT